GAAAATTTGATTGCAAATTATGCTGGCCAAAGACAGAGTCAGCACGGAGCAAGACTTTGCCCAAAATAGTACAGAAGATTTCACAGCCAAGAGTTTTTTGAACTGGTCAGCCCTGAAGGACGCTGGTGTTATGTGCAATTTTGTGAAATATATTTAATTTACATGAACAATTGTGTATTATTTGATCTGATATCATCTTTCATTATTATTGTTATTATTCGTGACAACCGCCTCTTGACCACCTCCCCGGGATCAGAACACCCTTTCAGGACTTGGTGCAGATTGTAAATGTATTCATTTTTCTGTTTAGCTGATTACAATTTTGTTATCGATTAAACAGAAAAATGAATGCACTGACAATCTGCACCAAGTCCAGAAAGAAAACAAGAACTGAATGTGAAATCCGTCTGCTAGCTACTGGATTTCGTCTGCTGAGGGCCCAAATTTTTACATTTCCAACAAAAATAACATCATGTTTTTGCAGCTTGGAATTTTCAGAGTATCTTTGCTTTTAATGCAGTAGCCGTCTAAAATAAATATTATGGCTTCAATGCTTCTCAAAGAGACTTTAAAAGAAACAAAAACATTGTGTTAGTTATTTTAGGTTGCCAGTACTGGGGCGACCCTCTACGTCACAGCCGATTTAAGGGTATAGGCCTTCTCTGAAGACTTGCCATACCCTGATTTTTGGCATCGCCTATACTGAAAAACCAAACGTGGTCTGGACCGCATCACTGGTGTGGAAAAATGGGAGCCATTTTGACCGCACCAGTTGGTATGGTCTGGTTTTTCAGTGTATCACTGTAGGAGTATCACTGTTACAGGTATAGGAACATGAATACAAGGTAGGTTTACGCCAGACCGCGTCTTGTCGTAACAGGCTTCGCGATATGTCGCTGCCTGTTTCTCCAATCCGCGCCTGGCGTACCTACCTTGGCCTGCGGCGCTGGGCTGCCTTCGGCAGACAATGCTTGTCCATCATCAGTTACTTCAGAACTGTTGCATGCTGGGGGCCCCCAGACCCCCCTTCATTGGCTGAGCGATAGCGAAGCCTGTTACTCCAGTGGGGTTGAAAAATTTTTCCTGTCTGTGTGTGTGTCTGTGTGTGTACACTACTTCTCCTGAACGGCTCGGCCGATCTGGCTGAGATTTTGCAGGCTTATGAGGTATGTCCTTGGCTCGGCACACGCGAAATTTCACCATCCTAGCTCAAGTGGTTCAGTTTTTATAGCCGAAAAACACCTAAAAAACGGCGAAAAATCGAGTTTTCTGCAGGCAGATCACTTCTGTCTTGAAGAAAGGGGTGTCTGGGGGGCGGAGCTCCCCAACCTCGACAAGTTAAAAAGCTACAAGGGTCAAGATCGTGTTATCTGTAGATTAAGCAACTCTTTCTAGAATTAAGGGGGGTCTGGGGGACGGAGCCCCACAGCATGCAACACGTAAGAAGTAGCCGACGATGGACAAGCCAATGCCTGCCGAAGGCAGGCTAGCGCCGCAGGCCAAGGTAGGTACGCCAGGCGCGGATTGGAGGAACAGGCCGCGAGATATCGCGAAGCCTGTTACGACAAGACGCGGTCTGGCGTATACCTACCTTGTTTTAGATAGAGGTGCTTCGTCTACAAATTACACGATCTTGACCCTTGTAACTTTTCAACTTGTCGTGGCTGGGGGCCTCCGCCCCCAGACCCCCCTTTCATCCAGACAGGAGAGGTCTACCGACAGAAAACTCGATTTTTTCGCCGTTTTTTAGGTGTTTTTCGGCTATAAAAACTGAACCACTTGAGCTAGGATGATGAAATTTCGCGTGCGCCGAGCCAAGAACATACCTAATAACCCTGCGAAATCTCAACCAGATCGGCCGAGCCGTTCAGGAGGAGTAGTGTACACACACAGACAGACAGACACACAGACGGACAGACAAAACTTTTCAACCGCACTGGAGTAACAGACTTCGCTATCGCTCAGCCAAATACACTGTTCTTCAACGAATGTGACCTCATTATTTGAGAGAATGTGAATTCTGTCGCCTTCGCTTCAATGTGATGTCACACTTGTTAATTTGTGCCTCTGAAAGCTGAAAACTTATTCTGACATTCTGTACAACTCAGGCCATCAATATAAGAGTAAGTTTGCAGAATTTCAGCTCTGAGAGGTGCGCGAATTTTTATCAGGATTTTAGACTTGTTTCTGACATGCTGACCAAATATACACGAGTGATGCTTACCACAAATCTGTGGCAATACAACAAAGTGACGAAAGTCAAAAACATCAGTATTTCAGGAGACGTAAAAAACACTTTTCAAAATCAAGCAACAGGTTAAAACTTTAACCGACGATAGGAGAATTTCTTGTGGCACTTAAAAAATACTTTTATGTTAAGAGAAAGTTAAAATAATGATTTGTTTTCCACTTCGCTAGACTTACGTCACATGATTTGTAATTTTTAATCCAACAAAGTGACGTAAGTGCACTTACGTCACTTTGAAAGTTTATATTTTACTCCGTTGTGACCCCTTCTATATATTAAAGTTTAGACAGTGCAAGTCATTAGCTGTATGACAGAATCGTACTCGAGGTCCCTGCCCAGCTGTGAAAAAAAATCTGTGACGCAAGTGTACTTACGACACATTTTTTACGACATGATTTCAAAAAATATGTCGTAAGTGCACTTACGACATTTTGGCAAATTGACTTCTGAATGAAATTGACTTACGTCAGATTTTACTTGTCATTATCTCCTAGACCAAATGAGAAAAATGTAATTGTGCATATTGGAAAAGGTCCGCATCAATGAGAGGGTTCCAACCGTGCGACTAACTCGTTTTTGTCGTAAGTGCACTTACGTCACTTTGTTGTAATGCCACAGAATTGGCGACGATGATTTCTGAGGAGATTCTTTAGCGTCGTGCTACGTGAAGGGACGAAGACACGAAAAGTCAAAGTCGAATTTCGCGTTCCTATGGAAGCAGAGGACCGATTTAGAGCGTGCCCTTGCCATCCCGCATAGTCCCAGTGTGAATGGCGACGATGACTTTTGAGGAGATTCTTTAGAGTCGCTTTACGTAAAGTGCCGAAAACACGAAAAGTCAAAGTCGAATTTGGCGTTCCTATTGAAGCAGAGGACCGATTTAGAGCGTGCCCTTGCAATCCCGCATAGTCCCAGTGCGATTGGCGACGATGACTTTTGAGGAGATGCTTTAGCGTCGTGCTACGTGAAGTGCCAAAAACACAAAAAGTCAAAGCCGAATTTCTCGTTCCTATGGAAGCAGAGGACCGATTTAGAGCGTGCCCTTGCGATTCCGCATAGTCCCAGTGCGATTGGCGACGATGACTTTTGAGGAGATTCTTTAGCGTCGTGCTCCGTGAAGTGCCGAAAACACGAAAAGTCAAAGTCGAATTTCGCGTTTCTATTGAAGCAGAGGACCGATTTATAGCGTGCCCTCGCCATCCCGCATAAACCCAGTGTGATTGGCGACGATGACTTTTGAGGAGATTCTTTAGTGTCGTGCTACGTGAAGGGCCGAAAACACGAAAAGTCAAAGTCGAATTTCGCGTTGCTATTGAAGCAGAGGACCGATTTAGAGCGTGCCCTTGCCATCCCGCATAAACCCAGTGCGATTGGCGACGATGACTTTTGGGGAGATTCTTTAGCGTCGTGCTACGTAAAGTGACGAAAACACGAAAAGTCAAAGTCGAATTTCGCGTTCCTTTTGAAGCAGAGGGCCGATTTCGAGCGTGCCCTTGCGATTCCGCGTAGTCCCAGTGCGAATGGCGACGATGACTTTTGAGAAGATCCTTTAGCGTCGTGCTACGTGAAGTGACGAAAACACGAAAAGTCAAAGTCGAATTTCGCGTTCCTATTGAAGCAGAGGGCCGATTTCGAGCGTGCCCTTGCCATCCCGCATAGTCCCAGTGCGATTTTCGACGATGACTTTTGAGAAGATTCTTTAGCGTCGTGCTACGTAAAGGGCCGAAAACACGAAAAGTCAAAGTCGAATTTTACGTTCCTATTGAAGCAGAGGACCGATTTCGAGCGTGCCCTTGCCATCCCGCATAAACCAAGTGCGATTGGCGACGATGACTTTTGGGGAGATTCTTTAGCGTCGTGCTACGTGAAGTGCCGAAAACACAAAAAGTCAAAGTCGAATTCCGCGTTCCTATGGAAGTAGAGGACCGATTAAGAGCGTGCCCTTGCCATCCCGCATAGTCCCAATGCTATTGGCGACGATGACTTTTGAGGAGATTCTTTAGCGTCGTGCTACGTGAAGTGCCAAAAACACGAAAAGTCAAAGTCGAATTTCGCGTTCCTATTACAGCCGAGGACCGGTTTAGGGCGTGCCCTTGGCATCCCGCATAGTGCCAGTGCAATTCTGTGGCAATACAACAAAGTGACGTAAGTCAAAAACATCAGTATTTCAGGAGACGTAAAAAACACTTTTCAAAATCAAGCAACAGGTTAAAACTTTAACCGACGATAGGAGAATTTCTTGTGGCACTTAAAAAATACTTTTATGTTAAGAGAAAGTTAAAATAATGATTTGTTTTCCACTTCGCTAGACTTACGTCACATGATTTGTGATTTTTAATCCAACAAAGTGACGTAAGTGCACTTACGTCACTTTGAAAGTTTATATTTTACTCCGTTGTGACCCCTTCTATATATTAAAGTTTAGACAGTGCAAGTCATTAGCTGTATGACAGAATCGTACTCGAGGTCCCTGCCCAGCTGTGAAAAAAAATCTGTGACGCAAGTGTACTTACGACACATTTTTTACGACATGATTTCAAAAAATATGTCGTAAGTGCACTTACGACATTTTGGCAAATTGACTTCTGAATGAAATTGACTTACGTCAGATTTTACTTGTCATTATCTCCTAGACCAAATGAGAAAAATGTAATTGTGCATATTGGAAAAGGTCCGCATCAATGAGAGGGTTCCAACCGTGCGACTAACTCGTTTTTGTCGTAAGTGCACTTACGTCACTTTGTTGTAATGCCACAGAAATGATGTCAAGCGTGCATAGGGTGAGGAAGTCGTGGATGTTGATTGACTTGCCATTCGTAGATAACAATTTCTCGACCAGGACATTACCGTTGCTGTCGAACACATGCACGAATTGATCCAAAATACGGAAGTGGAAAGTTGAAGTTATCAATTTTCTTCTCATGTGCCACTTCTGACCTGGAATGTATCGTTATTGATGTTCTAATTGGCTTCTTTTTGATGCTTCAATCGAGTCGCTTAGTTCGGCGTACCTTTGCTGGTAAGGAGTCCTTCTCCAAGCCAGGGATGCAAATAACGGTACACGTCTGCCTTTTCAATGTGTTTCGAGCCACTGAGAAGAATCTGCGGCAAAACAAAGATGCATTATTTTCCTGTCACCACATTCGCAACAGTAAAGGCGTAACTAGAGACGGGTCATTCTCCGCCGAATCGACGATGGTCTGTTTTTGAGGTCGATGGATTCGGTCCAAACCACTTTTAATCGATGCATTGGGGCCCCAAAGGGACCTCTCTAAGAGGATTTTTTTTTAAAATCATTTTTCCCAGAGTTATGGCCAATACCATTTTGGGAAATTTAGTGAAAACAGTACTTTTCATCTTAGCCTATGAAAGTGTGATGTGAGACCCCTTTGGCTTATATTTCCATTTCAACTAGCTTAGAGGGGTCCTGAAAACCTTCTCCTCTGACTAAAGGTGAAAAATCAAAAAAATTCCATTTTTTTACTTAGGAAAATTTATGAAAAAAAGTGAAAAATGAGCATAACTTTTTTACGTGGTTTGAGAATTTTGACGATACTTTGTCCTAAGATTCACTTTAGGTGACCGCTTAAAACTACAAAATATTTCATCTGGCAATACGTATCTTCACTGAATCGGGTTGATAAAACTTAATTTTGAGCTAAAATTTTACTCGAAACTTATGACGACAAAGCGCATTGACTCCAAAATCAATTTTCAAAGGTCAAAAAGTTACTTATCATATATCTTGAAGTCAGGGCAGATTAAACACCTCAAGAATCCATCCCATTGATGCTCAAAATGTTGATCACTCCTTATTTTAGGTATTTTGCTCTCCATTTAAGTCTAAACCCATGAAGTACATAGTGGTTGGTAGTATTGGTGGTAATGGTTGTCCGTTGTTTCAAACAGCTGATTCTACAGTGTCTGCAATGTTTGTAAGTGGTCTGTACTAGTAAAACTAAGGCATAGTATTATGCCTGTCCTCAAGCGTAAAATCTTACAGTGTACTCCTGCGCTTGACTTCAAGCGTAAGAAGAGCTATGTTTGAAGCCAAGCGTAATCAAGCCACATCAGAAATTCTGACCCACTGCTTCAAGCGTTAAGTCAGTACACTCAATTTCAAGCATAGTGAAAACCCATGCTGCATTTTACAAGCACAGGAGAATGCGCACATTCATAATGCAAAATCAGCTCAATTTAATTTAAGATAATATCTTGGCTATCTTAAACTGAGCTGATAAGATAATATCTTAGCTCTCTTAAATTGTCTTATCATCTTATCAGCTCAGTTTAAGATAGCCAAGATATTATCTTAAGGGGAGGTTCTGGTGAAAATCTTGACATTTTCCAAATGGATCCTACAGTCATAATTTGTTCGGAATATAAACTTTTTCATTGAGGAGACTAAAATTTGACTTTTGAAGGCACATGCCAGGCTGTAAACCCAGTCGAACAGTCTTTTTTGAGCCTATTTTGGCTGTATCTTAAAAAATCTCCTTGCGCATACTATTTTGTCGTAAAAGGATGACCTTGACATTTTTCACTTCTTCGACTCATTTTCAAAAGATTCCGGCATGCAGAGCTCAAAACTTCCATTATATTATTAGTTATTAGCTTTTAAAGCTGAAAAGTCCCTTAAATTTGTCTATTTTGTACATTTTTGATCAATTTTAGTGAAATGCTTGGTTAGAAAGCTTGCGATTAAAAATGCAATTGACATTTTGAGATGTGCATGCCAGCATTTTAAAAAAATGAATCGAAGAAGTGAAAAATGTCTAAGCCAACCTTTTACGACAAAATAGTATGCGCAGGAAGATTTTTAAAGTTATAGCCTTAATGGGACAAAAAGGCTCTGCGACGGGGTTCAGGGCATAGAATGTGCCTCCCCAACGAAAATTTTTAATAAATACTTGATAAGACATCAAATTTTTAACAAATTTTCAAAGTGGGACCTATTTAGGAGAAAATAGCATTTTCACCAGAACCTCCCCTTAAATTAAACTGAGCTGATTTTGCATTATGAATGTGCGCATTCTCCTGTGCTTGTAAAATGCGGCATGGGTTTTCACTATGCTTGAAATGGAGTGTACTGACTTTACGCTTGAAGCAGTTGGTCAGAATTTCTGATGTGGCTTGATTACGCTTGGCTTCAAACATAGCTCTTCTTACGCTTGAAGTCAAGCGCAGGAGTACACTGTAAGATTTTACGCTTGAGGACAGGCATAATACTATGCCTTAGTTTTACTAGTACAGACCACTTACAAACATTGCAGACACTGTAGAATCAGCTGTTTGAAACAACGGACCACCATTACCACCAATACTACCAACCACTATGTACTTCATGGGTTTAGACTTAAATGGAGAGCAAAACACCTACAATAAGGAGTGATCTACATTTTGAGCATCAATGGGATGGATTCTTGAGGTGTTTAATCTGCCCTGACTTTAAGATATATGATAAGTAACTTTTTGACCTTTGAAAATTGATTTTGGAGTCAATGCGCTTTGTTGTCATAAGTTTCGAGTAAAATTTTAGCTCAAAATTAAGTTTTATCAACCCGATTCAGTGAAGATACGTATTGCCAGATGAAATATTTTGTAGTTTTAAGCGGTCACCTAAAGTGAATCTTAGGACAAAGTATCGTCAAAATTCTCAAACCACGTAAAAACGTTATGCTCATTTTTCACTTTTTTTCATAAATTTTCCCAAGCAAAAAATGGAATTTTTTTGAATTTTCACCTTCAGTCAGAGGAGAAGGTTTTCAGGACCCCTCTAAGCTAGTTGAAATGGAAATATAAGCCAAAGGGGTCTCACATCACACTTTCATAGGCTAAGATGAAAAGTACTGTTTTCACTAAATTTCACTAAATTTCCCAAAATGGTATTGGCCATAACTCTGGGAAAAATGATTTAAAAAAAAAAATCCTCTTAGAGAGGTCCCTTTGGGGCCCCAATGCATCGATTAAAAGTGGTTTGGACCGAATCCATCGACCTCAAAAACAGACCATCGTCGATTCGGCGGGGAATGACCCAGACGCATATTTTCCAGTACCTCAACATCTTCTGGATTGTTGAGTACAACAACGGCATGCCCAAGTCCAAACCAAAGTCGATATACAGGGTGAGTTTTCTCGATGTGTCAATAATTTGTAGGTAGTTTGGGCACCCCAAGGCGATCATTTTCTACTAATGAACTAGTGGGCGCAAACGTTTAAGTACGGAGATAATTGGTGTTTTGTAATTGGCCTTCGCGCCTGCGAGGTAGGCACCCTCAGCGACTGATGGTCGCAGGACCCCGCGTGGGGGTGTCGCGGGTCTAGGAGGGGTGCTTCGAGTGTCGTAGGGGTGCGGTGGACCTTGCAAATGTCTTTTGGGAGGGGTTGCCGCGGGTCTGAAGAGGCTGTCATGGTGGCCCCCGTTACAGTGGATCTCACGGCTGTCTTTGCGAGGGTGGCGGGATTCCTCAGATACTTCCGCGAGATCAGTGGCACTCCCGCGAGTACTGCTAGTCCCGCGACACCCCCTCGACAGGTCCTGCCGCCCTCAGTGGCACCGGGTGCCTACCTCGTAGGCGCAAAATCCAATTACAAAACACCAATTATCTCCGTACCTAGACGTTTGCGCCCACTAGTTCATTGGCGAAAAATGGTCCTTTAGGGATGCCCAAACTGCCTGCAAATTATTGACACATTGAGGAAACTCACCCTGTATACCGCCGTATTTTTGAGTCCAATTGCTGATCGCTTCGGTCAAATCTGCAACGGAACCAGAGCAACGCTACTAATAGGACTCGACTTCCACTCGAAAGCCACGGTCACAGTGCCAAACTATCAATATAAAACGGTGAAAGGCTGCACTTCACATACATATGGTGAAAATTTTATCCACAATAAAAACGAAATTGTCAAAAAAGCGATATTGTACGCGAATTCACACTGGTATGTAATCAAGTCAGCTCGAGTAAGCCGCACCTCAATACTATTGATAATTTTGACAATAATACAGCACTCTAAAAAATATTGTGGTAGAAATCCTATAAACGTATCGGACGCATTTAACCTAATCGGTATAGGAATTTTCCCACATAGGACATGGTAAATTTACCATCTGCCGATATGGCAAAAATCCTATACGTGTTGTTAGGTTTCTACTATATTAGGGTGTGGGAAAACTACTACACCGTGAATGGTAAAAATCCCATACGAGTTGTGGGATATTTTCGTTCCGTGATGTGGTAAAACTCCTATACACACATAGGAAGTCTTACTTTGAGAAATAGTGAACACATCCCGAGAGATCATGGCGCCAGCGCCACTTCAGTTGGGGAAGCATTTTAAAAATTAAAGTGGGATTCTGTCTCCGATAGATGAAATGACCCACCCAAGAGGCAGTTCAATCCACTCCCGGGCTCTGTTCCTCAAGGCGGATCTTGCGTGCACCCAACCTAATGGCCGACCGCAGTCGCCAGCGAGTGCCAACATGGACAAGCGTTTTTCTCGACTTTAGTGTAATATTTTGTTTAAAACTGAAAGCCAACGGCTAGGACTGACACTTACTTAGGCAACAGATGATATAGTTGTCGAAAATTATTTACTTTAGTAACATAAATCGGAAATACTTAGTGGTGAACGGGCACGGCGCTCCAAGCGCCACCTAGCGGCAGGTTTGTGCAACCTGACGTCAGGCGGCTGACAGTGGACCATACCCTTACCCACAGCTCACCTTTTAGGTACAAGGTAACTTAACAATAGACGATGTCAAAATGCTTTGGAGCGCTACGTTTATTTTCAGCTTCATAATAATATCACTTTAAATTTCGCAAGGATTCAAAAACCATGGCTCATCTACATGAGTCGTTCTGAGTTGCCGCTATTTTCAGAGACA